GTTGTGGTTGTTAAGGTTGTTGTGGTTGTTGTGGTTGTTGTGGTTGTTGTGGTTGGTGTGGGTTGTTGTGGTTGTTGTGGTTGTTGTGGTTGTTGAGGTTGTTAAGGTTGTTGTGGTTGTTGTGGTTGTTGGTTGTTGGTGGTTTTTTGTTGTTGTGGTTGTTGTGGTTGTTAAGGTTGTTGTTGTTGTTGTGGTTGTTGAGGGTTTTTGTGGTTGTTGTGGTTGTTGAGGTTGTTGTGGTTGTTGTGGTTTGTTGTGTTGTTGTGGTTGTTGTTGTTGTTGTGGTTGTTGTGGTTGTTGTGGTTGTTGTGGTTGTTGTGGTTGTTGTGGTTTTTTGTGGTTGTTGTGGTTGTTAAGGTTGTTGTTGTTTGTTGTGGGTTGTTGAGGTTGTTGTGGTTGTTGTGGTTGGTGTTGTTGTTGTGGTTGTTGTGGTTGTTGTGGTTGGTTGTGGTTGTTTGTGGGTTGTTAAGGTTTTTGTTGTTGTTGTGGTTGTTGAGGTTGTTGTGGTTGTTGTGGTTGTTGTTGTTGTTGTGGTTGTTGTGGTGTTAAGGTTGTTGTTGTTGTTGTGGTTGTTGAGGTTGTTGTGGTTGTTGTGGTTGTTGAGGTTGTTGGGTTGTTGTGGTTGTTGTGGTTGTTGGGTTGTTGTGGTTGTTGTGGTTGTTGTTGTTGTTGTGGTTGTTGGGTTGTAAGGTTGTTGTGTTGTTGTGTGTGGTTGTTGTGGTTGTTGTGGTTGGTGTGGTTGACATTTCAGTGAGTAGAATTGCGACCAGTTCCTTCGGGATTTTCCAGGTGTAAATTATTAGGTATCTTTGGTGTCCCGTGGCTCGGTTGGTAGCTCATTCAGCTCACGCATGTGGGTTCGGGTTTTCGATCCCCGGTCGGTCGAGAAGATTAGGATTGTATTTTCTTATAACACCTGCTGTCTCTATTCACCTAGCAGTAAGTAGGTACCTTGATGTTAGTTACCTTACACCTGTTGTCACTGTTCACCTAACAGTAAGTACGTACCTAGGCGTTAGTCACCTTACACCTACTGTCACTGTTCACCTAGCAGTAAGTAGGTACCCGGGTGTTAGTTACCTTACACCTGTTGTCACTGTTCACCTAGCAGTAAGTAGGTACCTGGGTGTTAGTCATCCAGGTACCTTGGACAAATCGACAGGTGGAAGTAGGTCATGACTATAGGTTAGGCAGTAAAGAATTCCCTGAATCAGGTGCCCAAAATGCTGCTGTGTCTGACAGGAGTGTAGGCCTAGATATGTGATTCCATGAGTCTGGGCCTAAGGCAGAGTGCACTGCATTGTTGTCAGTGACCTGAGGCAGAGTGTACGGCCATATTGTCAGTGACTTCTTCGAAGTGGTCTTGAACTAATACAAAAATTATGGAGATATGGGCCGAGTTTTGGATCTCAGTCACGAAAAAAACAGTCACTGAACACACTCGCAGTTTGACTACGATAAAAGTCCCTATGGGATTTTTTTTTTTTTTTGGCCTGGCTTTAGCATTTACAAAAATGTATTTAGGAGTCCTCTAATTTCATTAATGGTTTCTCAACGTCTCTCTTTTTCAGTCTATATGATTTATTCAGCACTTGCCTTCACTCCTGAGACAGTGTTGAGGAGTCTGAGAAGGTCAGAGGTTCTTCGTCTTCACCTAGAAAGGGAACGTCTCTCTCTCTCTCTCTCTCTCTCTCTCTCTCTCTCTCTCTCTCTCTCTCTAATATGCATTATTTGTTTTTGTAATGTGTCTGAAGATATACATATATACACTGTATATATGTATAGCTCAGTATATGTGCACTGAGTGATACGTATCTCTACATACATTTATACACTGAGAGGTGTATATCAGTGTATATACACTGGTAGTTTAAAGTAATCGTTATTTTAGGTATTAAATTAGTTTTGACTATTTGCTATGTAAACAGAGAGAGAGAGAGAGAGAGAGAGAGAGAGAGAGAGAGAGAGAGAGAGAGAGAGAGAGAGAGAGAGAGAGAGAGAGAGAGAGAGAGAGAGAGAGACCCCTAAATGACCAAGGTTTCACATACCAAACGATAACTAATGCTTCCTGGGAATGAAACTACCAATTTAGGTAAGACAAAAGAGAGCTTCTCTAGCCACTGAAATGGTAGGAATGTTGGTGGTAGTGGTGGTAGTGGTGGTAGTGGTGGTAGTGTAGTAGTAGTAGTAGCAGTAGCAGCAGAACAGAGACGTACACAGGTCCTCACTGACAGTAGTGGTTCGTGATTCAGAGTTGAGACAGAGGCTGAGTCAGTAAGTTTATTTAGACACAGGTACTCGTAAAGTTTATTTAGACACAGGTACTCGTAAAGTTTATTTAGACACAGGTACTCGTAAAGTTTATTTAGACACAGGTACTCGTAAAGTTTATTTAGACACAGGTACTCGTAAAGTTTATTTAGACACAGGTACTCGTAAAGTTTATTTAGACACAGGTACTCGTAAAGTTTATTTAGACACAGGTACTCGTAAAGTTTATTTAGACACAGGTACTCGTAAGATTTATTTAGACCACAGGTAACTCAGTAAAGATTTATTTAGACCACAGGTACGTAAAGTTTATTTAGACACAGGTACTCGTAAAGTTTTATTAGAGCCTACTGGTTACTCGTAAAGTTTATTTAGACACAGGTACTCGCATGTACAGTTATCATTCATAGTGCAAATTACCCTCCTGGATAACCCAAGAGAAGACCAAAATGACTTATTTCCAAACAGGAAAAGGGTTTCCTGATGCCAGTTTTAGTCATGAGGTGACCCACAACTGGAGCTTTTGGTCATCTGACCGAGGCCTTCTACTGGCTTACTCCTTCTACCTCTTTTAAAAATATGGTTATGATTATAACCATTAAATATTTAAGGTTCCATGGAGCACTGACCTGGAGTTTTACGAGTTACTTGCCGTGAGTTCGAGCCCCACCTGTACAGTGGGGACTGACAGACCAGCAGAAACTGAACGCTTTAAACTATCAGATTGTTTGCTATCCCACATTATCTATATCACTGCTTATAGAACATCCACGTACATTCTCGACAACACCAACCTTGTCAAAACGCAAATAACCCGCTTACGACGATGTTTCGGTCCGTCTTGGACCATTTATAAAGTCACACTACAGACCCACCTCAAACAAGCCTTCAGACCACGTCCTATCTCACAACATTCTGGTGCAGACTACAGCAAAACACTTATGTACATACATTCTTATCAACACCGACAATATCAGCTCTACAGTGCTGACAGTAATAGGACTATACCTAGAGATATCTGGGGAGAGTTTCCGTGGGTCAGCGCCCCCGCGGCCAGGTCTGTAATCAGCCTCTGTGGTCATTATTTCCCTCACATCTCAAAAAATTTTAGCCGCAATGATTCTCTGGGAAGAGGGTCTTTCGTCCCTCTGAATTACCTCCTGGTCTGTTCTGTTGTAGATTCGCAAGTATAATCGCCTGGCCCGCGTCTTTTCCAAGAGGTGGCCCGGCCTTGGCTCCCTGTCGTGGGAGTGTCTCAGACCTATATCTACCATGGGAGGAGGTACAAGTACCTCCTTGTCTTCTAGGACCAGCTGTCCCCAGGCCTAACCCCATTCCCTACCCCCAAGGGGCTCGGAGAGAGAAGCTAGGCACCTTGGACTGCCACAAACCCCGCCCACACTGGGTTCGAAGGGTGTGGCAGGTACACAGCAGCAGACGACGTCAGGATCCTTTTGGAGTCACACTCCAGCTTTGGGCCGTAGCCCGAGCGCTGGGGAAGTTTAGGAATGCCTCTTACTGTGTGTGTTGAAGCTGCTACTACTACACTTGTCCGTTGAACTCTAATTGCCGCCTGATATATAGGCTGGTTCGTACGAGGTGAATTTCTATTTGTGTGAACCTTACGTACGTCTCTAGAGGAACAGCAGTTCTGAAAGAGTCTAAAGGACTTCAGAATCTCCATAACACGACTGCAAAGAAATCAAGGAACGGGAGGAGGCTTTAAACCCACATATGTACTGAAACTCACTGGCTGTTGAGGTTCAGGACTCGCTTACCATGGTTGCGAACCCCATATCCGTGTCCTGGTATTGTTTATTGAAGGTTCTGAAGATGTAAGCTCTTCAGCGTCCTTGTGGCGATGTTTCGCTCATTTCTGAACGTCATTAGGGTGAACGTCTCGACAAAACCTTCGTGTGATAGAATCAGATAATTTTCCTGGTCGTACTGGAACTGTAGATTGTCCTGCATGTTTTGATAGTAATTGTTACAGTTCTGGAGGTGGGAAGTACAGTGCCTGTACTCTGAAGGATGGGTGAGGATGTTACAGTCCTGAAGGTGGGATGTACAGTACCTGTACTCTGAAGGATGAGTGAGGATGTTACAGTTCTGGAGGTGGGAAGTACAGTGCCTGTACTCTGAAGGATGAGTGAGGATGTTACAGTTCTCAAGGTGGGATGTACAGTGCCTGTACTCTGAAGGATGGGTGAGGATGTTACAGTTCTCAAGGTGGGATGTACAGTACCTGTACTCTGAAGGATGGGTGAGGATGTTACAGTCCTGAAGGTGGGATGTACAGTGCCTGTACTCTGAAGGATGAGTGAGGATGTTACAGTCCTGGAGGTGGGCAGTACAGTACCTGTACTCTGAAGGATGAGTGAGGATGTTACAGTCCTGGAGGTGGGAAGTACAGTACCTGTACTCTGAAGGATGAGTGAGGATGTTACAGTACTGGAGGTGGGAAGTACAGTACCTGTACTCTGAAGGATGAGTGAGGATGTTACAGTTCTCAAGGTGGGATGTACAGTACCTGTACTCTGAAGGATGAGTGAGGATGTTACAGTTCTCTAGGTGGGATGTACAGTACCTGTACTCTGAAGGATGAGTGAGGATGTTACAGTTCTGGTGGTGGGAAGTACAGTGTCTGTACTCTGAAAGACAGAAACACACACACACATACACAGTCAGCCACAAAAGGCTGATTACAGACAATTGCAAACTGTACTCACCCTCAACTCCTCTGAATTCTGTGGCAGTTGCTGTAGCGAGAACTTCCTACCCAAAGAGTGGGTATTGGGAGCAGGCTGGGGCGTCTTGGGAACCAAAGGTGGGTACTGGGCGTGGGCGGAGGCGGGCGTAGTGGGCGTGGAAGCTGAAATAGTCTTGGTAGTGACTGTAGTGTTAAGATCGAGGACTGATTGTGGTAAGCCCAGTCGAATTTCCTCTTCTCTGTGCGTGAGAAATATAAACGGGGTGTGAGGGAGATTGATCTCTAACAGCCAGTTTATTAATGACATTGGTATACAATGCTGGTATACAATACTGGTATACAGTGCTATTATACAAGGTTGGTATACAACACTGGTATACTAACATTGGTATACAACACTAGTATGCAACACTGGTATACAACACTTATAGACGTTTCGCCCACCAGTGTATTTATCAATACAACACAAGGACATACACTGAAGACTGTATGATTGTATTCATACTGTCTTTGTTAATATTGTCTGTGTATACTAATACTGTGTATAATATACTATAGGTGTATACAATGAGAAGCAGGAGCCGTGAATCAACCCCTGCAACCACAAATAGGTGAGTACACACACGCAAACTTACATATGGTCGTTCAAGTTAGGTAGACTGGGACTTGTAGTGGTCCTAGAGAGGGTCTTGCTGGGTGGTGGTGGTCCCATGTCGGTCTTTATCACACCTGAAACAACAAGGGTCGACACTACAATCAGGCTATCACCAACAAGGGTCGGCACTACAACCAGGCTATCACATACAAGGTCGACACTACAACCAGGCTATCACCAACAAGGTCGACACTACAACCAGGCTATTACCAACAAGGTCGACACTACAACCAGGCTATCACCAACAAGGGTTGACACTACAACCAGGCTATCACCAACAAGGGTCGACACTACAACCAGGTTGTCACCAACAAGGGCCGACACTACAACCAGAATATCATCAACAAGGGTCGACACTACAACCAGACTATCACCAACATGGGTCGACACTACAACTAGGCTATCACCAACAAGGTCGACACTACAACCAGGCTATCACCAACAAGGGTCGACACTACAACCAGGCTATCACCAACAAGGGTCGACACTACAACCAGGCTATCACCAAAAAGATCGACACTACAACCAGGCTATCACCAACAAGGGTCGACACTACAACCAGGTCATCACCAACAAGGTCTACACTACAACCAGGCTATCACCAACAAGGTCGACACTACAACCAGGCTATCACCAACAAGGTCGACACTACAACCAGGCTATCACCAACAAGGTCGACACTACAACCAGGCTATTACCAACAAGGTCAACACTACAACCAGGCTATCACCAACAAGGGTTGACACTACAACCAGGCTATCACCAACAAGGGTCGACACTACAACCAGGCTGTCATCAACAAGGGCCGACACTACAACCAGGCTATCACCAACATGGGTCGACACTACAACCAGGCTATCACCAACAAGGTCGACACTACAACCAGGTTATCACCAACATGGGTCGACACTACAACCAGGCTATCACCAACAAGGTCGACACTACAACCAGGCTATCACCAACAAGGGTCGACACTACAACCAGACTATCATCAACATGGGTCGACACTACAACCAGGCTATCACATACAAGGTCGACACTACAACCAGGCTATCACCAACAATGGTCGACACTACAACCAGGTTGTCACCAACAAGGTCGACACTACAACCAGGCTATCACCAACAAGGTCGACACTACAACCAGGCTATCACCAACAAGGTCGACACTACAACCAGTCTATCACCAACAAGGGTTGACACTACAACCAGGCTATCACCAACAAGGGTCAACACTACAACCAGGTTGTCACCAACAAGGGTCGACACTACAACCAGGCTATCACCAACAAGGGTCGACACTACAACCAGGCTATCACAAACAAGGTCGACACTACAACCAGGCTATCACCAACAAGATCGACACTACAACCAGGCTATCACCAACAAGGGTCGACACTACAACCAGGCTATCACCATCAAGGGTCGACACTACAAGCAGGCTATCACCAACAAGGGTCGACACTACAACCAGGCTATCACCAACAAGGGTCGACACTACAACCAGGCTATCACCAACAAGGGTCGACACTACAACCAGGCTATCACCATCAAGGGTCGACACTACAACCAGGCTATCACCAACAAGGGTCGACACTACAACCAGGCTATCACAAACAAGGTCGACACTACAGCCAGGCTATCACCAACAAGATCGACACTACAACCAGGCTATCACCATCAAGGGTCGACACTACAAGCAGGCTATCACCAACAAGGGTCGACACTAAAACCAGGCTATCACCAACAAGGGTCGACACTACAACCAGGCTATCACCAACAAGGGTCGACACTACAACCAGGCTATCACCATCAAGGGCCGACACTACAACCAGGCTATCACCAACTAGGTTCGACACTAGAACCAGGCTATCACCAACAAGGGTCGACACTACAACCAGGCTATCACAAACAAGGTCGACACTACAGCCAGGCTATCACCAAAGAGATCGACACTACAACCAGGCTATCACCAACAAGGGTCGACACTACAACCAGGCTATCAAAAACAAGGTCGACACTACAACCAGGCTATCACCATCAAGATCGACACTACAACCAGGCTATCACCAACAAGGGTCGACACTACAACCAGGCTATCACCATCAAGGGTCGACACTACAACCAGGCTATCACCAACAAGGTCGACACTACAACCAGGCTATCACCAACAAGGGTCGACACTACAACCAGGCTATCACCAACAAGGGTCGACACTACAACCAGGCTATCACCAACAAGGGTCGACACTACAACCAGGCTATCACCAACAAGGGTCGACACTACAACCAGGCTATCACCAACAAGGGTCGACACTACAACCAGGCTATCACCAACAAGGGTCGACACTACAACCAGGCTATCACAAACAAGGTCGACACTACAGCCAGGCTATCACCAAAAAGATCGACACTACAACCAGGCTATCACCAACAAGGGTCGACACTACAACCAGGCTATCAAAAACAAGGTCGACACTACAACCAGGCTATTACCATCAAGATCGACACTACAACCAGGCTATCACCAACAAGGGTCGACACTACAACCAGGCTATCACCATCAAGGGTCGACACTACAACCAGGCTATCACCAACAAGGGTCGACACTACAACCAGGCTATCACCAACAAGGGTCGACACTACAACCAGGCTATTACCAACAAGGGTCGACACTACAACCAGGCTATCACCAACAAGGGTCGACACTACAACCAGGCTATCACCAACAAGGGTCGACACTACAACCAGGCTATCACCAACAAGGTCGACAATACAACCAGGCTATCACCAACAACCTCAAGGCTCTCTACCATGATAGTTGACCCACCGTCCACCCTTCACTAGTACACCATAATACAATATAATAATAATAATAATAATAATAATAATAATAATAATAATAATAATAATAATAATAATAATTAAAAATAATAATAATTAAAAATAATAATTAAAAATAATAATAATAATAATAATAATAATAATAATAATAATAATAATAATAATAATAATAGTGATTTATAAAGGTGACAGAAAGGTCAGGTCAGTAGAGAGGAAGGTCACTGACCTCTGGTATGGTCCAGGGCAGGTAATAAAGGTCAGGTCAGTAGAGAGGAAGGTCACTGACCTCTGGTATGGTCCAGGGCAGGTAATAAAAGTCAGGTCAGTAGAGAGGAAGGTCACTGACCTCTGGTATGGTCCGGGGCAGGTAATAAAGGTCAGGTCAGTAGAGAGGAAGGTCACTGACCTCTGGTATGGTCCGGGGCAGGTAATAAAGGTCAGGTCAGTAGAGAGGAAGGTCACTGACCTCTGGTATGGTCCGGGGCAGGTAATAAAGGTCAGGTCAGTAGAGAGGAATGTCACTGACCTCTGGTATGGTCCGGGGCAGGTGGTAAAGGTCAGGTCAGTAGAGAGAAAGGTCACTGACCTCTGGTATGGTCTGGGGCAGGTGGTAAAGTTCAGGTCAGTAGAAAGGAAGGTCACTGACCTCTGGTATGGTCCAGGGCAAGTAATAAAGGTCAGGTCAGCAGAGAGGAAGGTCAATGACCTCTGGTATGGACTGGGCAGGTGGTAAAGGTCAGGTCATTAGAGAGGAAGGTCACTGACCTCTGGTATGGTCCGGGGCAGGTAATAAAGGTCAGGTCAGTAGAAAGAAAGGTCACTGACCTCTGGTATGGTCCAAGTCAGGTGGTAAAGGTCAGGTCAGTAGAGAGGAAGGTCACTGACCTCTGGTATGGTCTGGGGCAGGTGGTAAAGGTCAGGTCAGTAGAAAGGTCACTGACCTCTGGTATGGTCCGGGGCAGGTAATAAAGGTCAGGTCAGTAGAAAGAAAGGTCACTGACCTCTGGTATGGTCCAAGTCAGGTGGTAAAGGTCAGGTCAGTAGAGAGGAAGGTCACTGACCTCTGGTATGGTCCGGGGCAGGTGGTAAAGGTCAGGTCAGTAGAGAGAAAGGTTACTGACCTCTGGTATGGTCCGGGGCAGGTGGTAAAGGTCAGGTCAGTAGAGAGAAAGGTCATGACCTCTGGTATGGTCCAGGGCAAGTAATAAAGGTCAGGTCAGTAGAGAGGAAGGTCACTGACCTCTGGTATGGTCCGTGGCAGGTGGTAAAGGTCAGGTCAGTAGAGAGGAAGGTCACTGACCTCTGGTATGGCCTGGGGCAGGTAATAAAGGTCAGGTCAGTAGAGAGAAAGGTCACTGACCTCTGGTATGGTCCAGGGCAAGTAATAAAGGTCAGGTCAGAAGAGAGGAAGGTCACTGACCTCTGGTATGGTCCGGGGCAGGTGGTAAAGGTCAGGTCAGTAGAGAGGAAGGTCACTGACCTCTGGTATGGCCCGGGGCAGGTAATAAAGGTCAGGTCAGTAGAGAGAAAGGTCACTGACCTCTGGTATGGTCCAGGGCAAGTAATAAAGGTCAGGTCAGTAGAGAGGAAGGTCACTGACCTCTGGTATGCTCCGGGGCAAGTAATAAAGGTCAGGTCAGTAGAGAGGAAGGTCACTGACCTCTGGTATGGTCTGGGGCAGGTGGTAAAGGTCAGGTCAGTAGAGAGGAAGGTCACCGACCTCTGGTATGGTCCGGGGCAGGTGGTAAAGGTCAGGTCAGTACAGAGGAAGGTCACTGACCTCTGGTATGGTCCGGGGCAGGTGGTAAAGGTCAGGTCAGTAGAGAGGAAGGTCACTGACCTCTGGTATGGTCCAGGGCAGGTGGTAAAGGTCAGGTCAGTAAAGAGGAAGGTCACTGACCTCTGGTATGGTCCGGGGCAGGTGGTAAAGGTCAGGTCAGTAGAGAGGAAGGTCACTGACCTCTGGTATGGTCCGGGGCAGGTGGTAAGGTCAGGTCAGTAGAGAGGAAGGTCACTGACCTCTGGTATGGCCCGGGGCAGGTAATAAAGGTCAGGTCAGTAGAGAGAAAGGTCACTGACCTCTGGTATGGTCCAGGGCAAGTAATAAAGGTCAGGTCAGTAGAGAGGAAGGTCACTGACCTCTGGTATGGTCCGGGGCAGGTGGTAAAGGTCAGGTCAGTAGAGAGGAAGGTCACTGACCTCTGGTATGATCCAGGGCAGGTGGTAAAGGTCAGGTCAGTAGAGAGGAAGGTCACTGACCTCTGGTATGGTCCGGGGCAGGTGGTAAAGGTCAGGTCAGTAGAGAGAAAGGTCACTGACCTCTGGTATGGTCCGGGGCAGGTGGTAAAGGTCAGGTCAGTAGAGAGGAAGGTCACTGACCTCTGGTATGGTCCGGGGCAGGTGGTAAAGGTCGGGCTCCCATGAATCTCTTCAGACTTCCCATGATGGTGCGTCCAGCACTGCCCCCATTATCACTGGCAGCGCTCTGTAAGGTCAGAAAGGTACATTGACCTTTAGATAAGAAGCTTAAAGAGGTCTATATATACCATTTATGAGGTATATACGATGACTGGTTAATGGGGTTTCAAGACTATCTACTACACGAGGGTCATTAATGCTGGTTGGTTGGTTAATGGGGTTTCAAGACTATCTACTACACGAGGGACATTAAGGCTGGTTGGTTGGTTAATGGGGTTTCAAGACTATCTACTACACGAGGGTCATTAAGGCTGGTTGGTTGGTTAATGGGGTTTCAAGACTATCTACTACACGAGGGTCATTAAGGCTGGTTGGTTGGTTAATGGGGTTTCAAGACTATCTACTACACGAGGGTCATTAAGACTGGTTGGTTGGTTAATGGGGTTTCAAGACTATCCACTACACGAGGGTCATTAAGACTGGTTGGTTGGTTAATGGGGTTTCAAGACTATCTACTACACGAGGGTCATTAAGACTGGTTGGTTGGTTAATGGGGTTTCAAGACTATCTACTACACGAGGGTCATTAAGGCTGGTTGGTTGGTTAATGGAGTTTCAAGACTATCTACTACACGAGGGTCATTAAGGCTGGTTGGTTGGTTAATGGGGTTTCAAGACTATCTACTACACGAGGGTCATTAAGGCTGGTTGGTTGGTTAATGGAGTTTCAAGACTATCTACTACACGAGGGTCATTAAGGCTGGTTGGTTGGTTAATGGGGTTTCAAGACTATCTACTACACGAGGGTCATTAAGACTGGTTGGTTGGTTAATGGGGTTTCAAGACTATCTACTACACGAGGGTCATTAAGGCTGGTTGGTTGGTTAATGGAGTTTCAAGACTATCTACTACACGAGGGTCATTAAGGCTGGTTGGTTGGTTAATGGGGTTTCAAGACTATCTACTACACGAGGGACATTAAGGCTGGTTGGTTGGTTAATGGAGTTTCAAGACTATCTACTACACGAGGGTCATTAAGGCTGGTTGGTTGGTTAATGGGGTTTCAAGACTATCTACTACACGAGCGTCATTAAGGCTGGTTGGTTGGTTAATGGGGTTTCAAGACTATCTACTACACGAGGGTCTTTAAGGCTGGTTGGTTGGTTAATGGGGTTTCAAGACTATCTACTACACGAGGGTCATTAAGGCTGGTTGGTTGGTTAATGGGGTTTCAAGACTATCTACTGCACGAGGGTCATTAAGGCTGGTTGGTTGGTTAATGGGGTTTCAAGACTATCTACTACACGAGGGTCATTAAGACTGGTTGGTTGGTTAATGGGGTTTCAAGACTATCTACTACACGAGGGTCATTAAGGCTGGTTGGTTGGTTAATGGGGTTTCAAGACTATCTACTACACGAGGGTCATTAAGACTGGTTGGTTGGTTAATGGGGTTTCAAGACTATCTACTACACGAGGGTCATTAAGGCTGGTTGGTTGGTTAATGGGGTTTCAAGACTATCTACTACACGAGGGTCATTAAGGCTGGTTGGTTGGTTAATGGGGTTTCAAGACTATCTACTACACGAGGGTCATTAAGACTGGTTGGTTGGTTAATGGGGTTTCAAGACTATCTACTACACGAGGGTCATTAAGGCTACATGTCACCTGTACACCACCAGTCAAGAATACTTTAATACCTAAAATACTGATTAATGTAAACTACCAGTGTATATACACTGAGATATACACCTCTCAGTGTATATACACTGAGATATACACCTCTCAGTGTATATACACTGAGATATACACCTCTCAGTGTATGTACTCACCTAGTTGAGGTTGCGGGGGTCGAGTCCGAGCTCCTGTGTGTGTGTGTGTGTGTGTGTGTGTGTGTGTGTGTGTGTGTGTGTGTGTGTGTGTGTACTCACACACACACAACTCTTGGCCCCGTATGTGTGTGTGTGTGTGTAGTCACCTATACATGATTGCAGGAGTCGATTCACAGCTCCTGACCCCTTATGTATGTGTTTGTGTATGTGTGTTACACACCCGGGGAGGTAGGGGTTGGATGATGGTGGTGGTAGTGGTGGTAGTAGTGGTAGAGTGATAGTAGTGGTGGTGGTAGTTGTGGTAGTGGTGGTGGTGGTGGTGGATGGTGGTAGTTACCTGCAGGTTGGTCATGCTGGTTGACCGGTAGTTGTCATTGGATGAACGAGCGTAGTTCTGCCAGGGTGAACAACCAGGGTGAACAACCAAGGTGAACAACCAGGGTGAACAACCAGGGTGAACAACCAGGGTGAACAACCAGGGTGAACAACCAGGGAAGAGAAGAACAAGATAGAGAACAGATGTGGAAATAAGAGCTGATAACGTGAAAATACTCAGAATTAAGGGATACCTGGAGTATACCTGGAGTATACCTGGAGTATACCTGGAGGGTGTTTCGGGGGTCAACGCCCCCGTGGCCTGGTCTGTGACTACGCCTCGTGGTGAATCAGGGCTTATCAATTAGTCTGTTATTGATGACCACACGTAACAAACGTAGGAACCACAGCCTGGTTGGTCAGGTACTGACTTTATGTATCTGTCCAGCCCCCTCCTGAAGTCAGCCAGGGGTCTAGAAGACAACCAGGGGTCTAGAAGACAACCAGGGGTCTAGAAAACAACCAGGGGTCTAGAAGACACCCAGGGGTCTAGAAGACAACCAGGGGTCTGGAGTTTACCTGGAGAGAGGTCTAGAAGATAACCAGGGGTCTAGAAGACAACCAGGGGTCTAGAAGACAACCAGGGGTCTAGAAGACAACCAGGGGTCTAGAAGACAACCAGGGGTCTAGAAAACAACCAGGGGTCTAGAAGACACCCAGGGGTCTAGAAGACAACCAGGGGTCTAGAAGACAACTAGGGGTCTAGAAGACAACCAGGGGTCTAGAAGACAACCAGGGATCTAGAAGACAACCAGGGGTCTAGAAGACAACCAGGGGTCTAGAAGACAACCAGGGGTCTAGAAGACAACCAGGGGTCTAGAAGACAACCAGGGGTCTAGAAGACAACCAGGGGTCTAGAAGACAACTAGGGGTCTAGAAGACAACCAGGGGTCTAGAAAACAACCAGGGGTCTAGAAGACACCCAGGGGTCTAGAAGACAACCAGGGGTCTAGAAGACAACCAGGGGTCTAGAAGACAACCAGGGGTCTAGAAGACAACTAGGGGTCTAGAAGACACCCAGGGGTCTAGAAGACAACCAGGGGTCTAGAAGACAACCAGGGATCTAGAAGACAACCAGGGGTCTAGAAGACAACCAGGGGTCTAGAAGACAACCAGGGATCTAGAAGACAACCAGGGGTCTAGAAGACACCGAAGGGTCTAGAAGACAACCAGGGATCTAGAAGACAACCAGGAGTCTAGAAGACAACCAGGGGTCTAGAAGACTCCCAGGGGTCTAGAAGACAACCAGGGGTCTAGAAGACACCGAGGGGTCTAGAAGACAACCAGGGATCTAGAAGACAACCAGGGGTCTAGAAGACAACCAGGGGTCTAGAAGACAACCAGGGGTCTAGAAGACAACCAGGGGTCTAGAAGACAACCAGGGATCTAGAAGACAACCAGGGGTCTAGAAGACAACCAGGGGTCTAGAAGACAACCAGGGGTCTAGAAGACAACCAGGGGTCTAGAAGACAACCAGGGGTCTAAAAGACAACCAGGGGCTTACCAACAGACCCTTAGCTGTCTTGACGACAACTAAGGGTCTATTGGTAATTTCTCTTATGTATGCTGGGAGGCAGTTGAACAGTCTTGGGCCCCTGACACTTACTATATTGTCTCTCAGTGTACTCGTGGCGCCCCTGCCTTTCATTAAGGAGTGGACCTATGTTGTTTATAGTGAGTGTGGGATGACCCCTGTGTCCGTACTCCCTCTCCATACAATGCTGAAGGTACGTGATAGGGACTTCTTACAGTTCTTCATGTACTTGGAGTTCCATGAGTCTGGGCCTGGGACAGAGTGCATGGGCATGTCATTCATTTTTTTCGAAGTTCTGTGGTGGTAGGATTACATCAGAAATTCTTGAATTAACCAAATTTTGAGTGTGGTCATAAAAGAATCATTTAGATTGTCGACTCTTAGTCGACATTTTCGGTCTTCAGTATCTCACTCATTTGTTTGCTGTTATCGAAGTGCCAGCTCATCTAAGCAGGGCATTTTGATGTGGGCTTTTGATCCAGATTTGGCATAGGAAAATAAATATGTTTTTCCAGTTTTATTTATGTCTTTAAGTTCTTTCCGTGTTTCTTGTCTCCTGTTTGCTTAAGTTTAGCTTCGACATTTATGGCGGCCCATGGCCTGGTGGCATTAGCTCTCGCTTCACAGGGCTAAGGTCCGTGTTCGGTTCCCGGTGAGTGACCAGGTTCGCTTCTCGGCGAGGGTGGAAACAACAAAACTTACCTAATTTGCCCGAAATGTTCTACATAACAAGGGGCTTTGTATGTAGTAGTATGTGACTTAAGAAATCGTAATGACACGATTGCAAATAAACCATACCCCCGGCCGGGATTGAACCCGCGGTCATAGACGGGCTGGAGTTTTGAGACTCTATGACCGCGGGTTCAATCCCGGCCGGGGGTATGGTTTAGTAGTATGTCATTGATGTCAGTTAGGCCTGTATACCTTGTACAGGTGGCCTGGTGGCTAAAGCTCTCGCTTCACACACGGAGGGCCCGGGTTCGATTCCCGGCGGGTGGAAACATTTCGACACGTTTCCTTACACCTGTTGTCCGGTTCACCTAGCAGCAAATAGGTACCTGGGTGTTAGTCGACTGGTGTGGGTGGCATCCTGGGGGACAAGATTAAGGACCCCAATGGAAATAAGTTAGACAGTCCTCGATGACGCACTGACTTTCTTGGGTTATCCTGGGTGGCTAACCCTCCGGGGTTAAAAATCCGAACGAAATCTTATCTTATCTTATCTTATCTTACATGTACTTGTAGTAAATAAAGATATTATTATCTGCTATTTCTCTGATCAGTGCTTCCCTTTGTGTTTCAGATACACCGCCCCGACTCAGCAGGTCTGTGATTCTTCACCTTCGCCTGTATGGAACGTCTCTCTCTTTCTAATTGACATTTTTCTAAGGGGAATATACCTTGAGCTGTTTGTACTCACCAATTGGTACTCACCTATTTGTGGTTACAGGGGGTCGAGTCACAGCTCCTGGACCCACCCCTATGTTGTGAACCGAGTGTATTCTCCGTGCTACTGTTATATTTCGTACCAGGTCACCATTATTAGGTAAGAGAAAGACGAGTCATGGAAATACTCAGAATTAAGGAGATATTTTTGTTCACTTGAACATTATATAACAGTTCTTTAAAATATCAGAATAATAATAAAGAATTTAGAAATGAAAATAACAAACTATTTGTTTTTGATAAGAGATGTTACGATTGTTGTTCAATATACAGTGTTGTTCAATATACAGTGTTGTTCAATATACAGTGTTGTTCAATACACAGTGTTGTTCAATATACAGTGTTGTTCAATATACAGTGTTGTTCAATATACAGTGTTGTTCAATATACAGTATTGTTCAATATACAGTGTTGTTCAATATACAGTGTTGTTCAATATACAGTGTTGTTCAATATACAGTGTTGTTCAATATACAGTGTTGTTCAATATACAGTGTTGTTCAATATACAGTGTTGTTCAATATACAGTGTTGTTCAATATACAGTGTTGTTCAATATACAGTGTTGTTCAATTATACAGTGTTGTTCAATATACAGTGTTGTTCAATATACAGTATTGTTCAATATACAGTGTTGTTCAATATACAGTGTTGTTCAATTATACAGTGTTGTTCAATATACAGTGTTGTTCAATATACAGTGTTGTTCAATATACAGTGTTGTTCAATATACAGTGTTGTTCAATATACAGTGTTGTTTTAATATACAGTGTTGTTCAATATACAGTGTGTTCAATATACAGTGTTGTTCAATATACAGTGTTGTTCAATATACAGTGTTGTTCAATATACAGTGTTGTTCAATATACAGTATTGTTCAATATACAGTGTTGTTCAATATACAGTATTGTTCAATATACAGTGTTGTTCAATATACAGTGTTGTTCAATATACAGTGTGTTCAATATACAGTGTTGTTCAATATACAGTGTGTTCAATATACAGTGTTGTTCAATTTTACAGTGTTGTTCAATATACAGTGTTGTTCAATATACAGTGTTGTTCAATATACAGTGTTGTTCAATATACAGTGTTGTTCAATATACAGTGTTGTTCAATATACAGTGTTGTTCAATATACAGTGTGTTCAATATACAGTGTGTTCAATATACAGTGTTGTTCAATATACAGTGTGTTCAATATACAGTGTGTTCAATATACAGTGTTGTTCAATATACAGTGTTGTTCAATATACAGTGTGTTCAATATACAGTGTTGTTCAATATACAGTGTGTTCAATATACAGTGTTGTTCAATATACAGTGTTGTTCAATATACAGTGTTGTTCAATATACAGTGTGTTCAATATACATTGTTGTTCAATATACATTGTTGTTCAATATACATTGTTGTTCAATAT